GGCATTCTACCTGTCTGAGGGCCCACCCCTCTGCAAACCCCACCCTCTCCAGGCTCCACCCCTCAAATCCCCAGGAATTTGTCAGCATGTAGTTGGCAACCCCATCTCCTTCCCAGCTAACCATCAACCTACCATTATCTGCCCCTTTGACTTCAGCTGACTTCTGCCCTCCCTTGTGCAGAGCAGTTGTAATTCTGAGTGCTCTCCAGCCCTCACCTGGAGATTGGCAGCAATTGTTACCCAGGACAAAGTGGCTGGTTTGGAGGGTGTAGTCTATGGCATTCTACCTGTCTGAGGGCCCACCCCTCTGCAAACCCCACCCTCTCCAGGCTCCACCCCTCAAATCCCCAGGAATTTGTCAGCATGTAGTTGGCAACCCCATCTCCTTCCCAGCTAACCATCAACCTACCATTATCTGCCCCTTTGACTTCAGCTGACTTCTGCCCTCCCTTGTGCAGAGCAGTTGTAATTCTGAGTGCTCTCCAGCCCTCACCTGGAGATTGGCAGCAATTGTTACCCAGGACAAAGTGGCTGGTTTGGAGGGTGTAGTCTATGGCATTCTACCTGTCTGAGGTCCCCATCTCCCCAGGCAGCTTTTAAAACATGATCCTGGGACCTACACACCACCAGACATTCCAACTGCCTTACGGGGGGGGGGGCGAGTATGAGGTGTGGAATGGAGTGAAGTCCAATCAGCTTCCATATGCAAAAGACTTTAAAACACTGGGCGGGACTGCACAAAGCAGCCAGTCAACCCAGCCAGCGTCTTCTGACTGACAGTTCAAGCGTCCATACACTAAAGGAGTGCATTTTAGAACTTTGGCACCCACTACTCAATTATATATAAGGAGAGATGGCACTGAGTGTAGTATAGCCAGGAAAGTCGAAGATTGTCCGGCAGCCAGAATATTCTAGCTCTTTTTAGTATTATGCATCATCAGGTGGTGAGCTAGACTTGTTTTTAAGGCAAGGAATGTTTCAGAGGTGGTGTGCCATTGCCTGCCTCTGTGTCACAACCCTGGTATTCCTTGGAGGTCACCCTTCCAAGTACTAGCCAGGGCCGACCCTGCTTAGCTTCTGACATCTGACACGATCAGGCTAGCCTGAACTATCCAGGTCAGGGAATGGTTTTAATGATGGATGATAACAAATTGTCATCTATAATCAGGAAAAAAAATCCTTGTACAAGAAGGGATTTCTATACTATTCTTTGGAATCCCCAGTTAAATGATAGTACCCATGATCCAAACAAAGACATCTGGGCACATACCTGAATTGCTAGACTTTTTTGTGCCACAAAACTTCTTGCATTGCATTTTCACCACCTTAGGGTTTTAAAAGATATTTGGAGACTTGGGTCAAGATTTGGTAAAAAAATGAGACTGGGAGGAAAAACAGTTCATAATCACAATATGGTTTGTTAACTTTTTCATGTATTACTATTGCATCATACAGATATAGTTAAAAAGGATAACATTACGATGGATATGTGCTTTTTCTAAATGAATAAAAAATAAAAAGCTGCTACAAGGGATTTTAATTGATTAAAAAAAAAATACCTATGCTGCCTATCTAGAGAAGCGCTCAAGGTAGCTTACAAAATAAACTGTGATTTTTAAAAAGTAACACAAGATAAAAAATCATTTTTTTAAAAAAATACAGAACTATTAAAAATCTTTCCAGAGCATAAGAACAGCCTAATTGTGTGCTGAAATAAGTGGACATTGTAAATTAGCCCGTTATTAAATTCAGCTGGCAAGTAGACGGCGTCCAAAACTGCCTTTAAAGGACCTGTCTTGGTGTCACATTTTAACCTTTTTTCACTGCTTGCTAGAACACACACAGTCAGGGAGTCTGGAACGCACGCCCATCTGTAGTCGGCAATTGGCCTCGGAGACAACAACAGAAGCCAGACCTAAAATTGGTTTATTAATATTAGTCGAGCAAGAGGTGTCAGATTTTATAACCTGGCTGTTAGCCTTTAATATCGGCCTGGTTTACAGAGCATTAACAAATTTGTTTTATTACACAACTGAGAAAAATGTGCAAGCCGAGTTGTTCTCTTCTGCACAGTGGTCTGAGGGGGAATGAAACCATGGAAAAAGATTTAGGCTGAAAGCAGATTATAAAGGAAAAGTTTCCCACGCCCAGCCAAGCCAGAGCTGGAGTCCCCACACATACTGCATGCACAGCACACCTGGAACTGGGAGAAAACAGTGGCTTGGATCCCACGGATCGGTTCCACAGGGAGTGGCGCTCTTCTCCAGCTGCTGGCCCCTTGCACTAGGAGGAGGTGCCAACGTCAGCAGAACAGATACATGAGAGCCAACCAACTCAGCCAGTTAATTGTTGAAACCCGTATAAAGAATGAGAAGTAGGATCTCTAAGCACCCCATAAAATTTCCTTATCATTTCAGAGCCAGAAGGCAGTAAGAAGATTGCCTAACAATTGTTTAGAAAGGTATTACCAACCTGGCAAGATCCACCAACTTCCCATTCCTACTGCAGACCTCCCCACCCCCCATGTCATTCTCCAGAGTCCAGTCTTTATGTCAGTGTGGCTCCAACCCAAAGTTACATAGCAAATTATGTCACTGACATTTTTAGAGAAAGTAAATACCACTAGTGGTGGAAGATCTTTTGGGGGAGAGGAAGTAATACTTATTTCAAAGAAAAGTGATTGTTTTTTTACTTTCTTACTTCTCGAAGGCAGCATTGTATGTATTTCACACTTTGCTTGCTTTGCCTATTTACAACTTGAAATGCAATTCAGTTTTTAAAGTTATCCTTGACAACACTGGGTTTTCACAAGTCAAGCCAGGATGTGAATGGCCAGACTGAGGTAATCTCAATAACATGAGCAGACCAATCAGGCGGGGTTCAGGAAGAGTCAGGGCGGAGCAAAACAAAGATTCAGAAAGTAGATTCTAGGCCCAGCTAGATAAATCAGATTACCCACCACTCTGGTTGAAATCGGGTGGTGACCATGAAGCTGACAGTTCCTTGAGTAGTTTGGATTTATCTGATTTGCCACCACTCCCCTTCCTTCACCTATCTGTCGCTACTTTTCACAAGCCAGTCAATTTAATCATAGAATCATAGAGTTGGAAGGGACCTCCAGGGTAATCTAATCCAACAACACTGCACAATGCAGGAAATTCACAAATACCTCCCCCTCCACACCCACAGTGACCGTTGTTCCACACCCAGAAGATGAAAAAAAAAACCCTCCAGGATTGCTTCCTGATCCCAAAGTGGCAATCAGCATTTCCCTGGGTGCATAAAAAAGGGCCACAAGAACTAAGCACTGAGGCAACCCTTCCTGCCCTCCCTCTCAGGATCTGCCTAAGTTCACAGAATCCGCATTGCTGTCAGATGGTCATCTAGTCTCTGTTTGAAAACCTCCAAAGAAGGAGAGCCCACCACTTCCTGAGGAAGTCTGTTCCACGGAGGAACCCCTCTGTCAGGAAGTTCTTCCTAATGTTTAGCTGAAAACTCTTCTGATTTAATTTCAACCCATTGGTTCTGGTCTGACCTTCTGTGGCAACAGAAAACAACTCCACACCATCCTCTAGATGACAGCCCTTCAAGTACTTGAAGATGGTTATCATATCACCTCTCAGTCATCTCCTCTCTAGGCTAAACATACCCAGCTCCTTCAACCTTTCCTCATAGAACTTAGTCTCCAGACCCCTCACCATCTTCGTTGCTCTCGTTTGAATATGTTCCAGCTTGTCTATATCCTTCTTAAATTGTGGTGCCCAAAACTGAACACAGTACTCTTGATGAGGTCTAACCAGAGCAGAGTAAAGTGGTACCATCACTTCGTGTGATCCGGACACTATACTTCTGTTGATACAGCCCAAAATCGCATTTGCCTTTTTTGCAACCACATCACACTGCTGACTCATGTTCAGTGCATGGTCTACTAACACCCCTAGATCCTTTTCGCACATACTACTGCCAATACAAGTCTCCCCCAACCTATCATTATGCATTTGATTCTTCCTACCTAAATGCAGAACTTTACATTTCTTCCCATTGAAATTCATTAAATTTCTTTTAGCCCAGTTTTTCAGCTGGTCAAGATCATCCTGTATCCTGACTCTGTCATCTACCATATTTGCTACCCCTCCCAATTTAGTATCATCTGCAAATTTCATAAGCATGACCTGAACAGCCACGAACCCAGGGGGCATGCCAAGTCTTCACCAATACATGAGATATATCATTTTTGAACCGGGCAAAAGCTGCCTGAAGCTTTATTTATTTACTTCATTTACATCCTATCTTTCTCCCCAAGATGAACTCAAAGGGACTAGCATCATTCTCCTCTCCTCTGCTTTCTCCTCACGCAGAGAGGTAGATTAGGTTGAGTGTGGACTGGCCCAAGGCCACTCAGCAGAGTGGGGATTTAAATCAAGAACTCCCAGATCTTAGTCTAATAACTCTAAGAACTACACAGTCTGGCACAAGCGACTTGTGCACAGATGCACAGCTGTTCAGCACAGAACTGTGCTTGAGAGAAACTTCAAAGGGTAACATAAAGATGGTCCAATCAGGAGCTTGCCTTGTGTGCAATTGGGGGAGTCTGGTCAACACAAGCTTGCTGGGAGGTCATGTTCATATCGAAGTTCCCAACACTTCTAGGCTTATCTGGGGATTGTAAGAAAGGACCAGTGACCCAGCTGGCAAGCAAAAGACTTTTCCTGCTTCCTTGTGTAGGGGCTGCTGTGGGGCTAGAGCCTACATTTAGTGCAAGAGTAGAAATACAGAGGCATGACACTTGATATGAGCATTTTTGGCAGTTTCAATAGCCTTCTGAACTTTATAGGGGCTTTTAAAACCTTTTTTATATTTAAAACCTTATTATAACCTTATTTACAATTGGTTAAGAATTGTACCAGGTTTTGCTATCTGGATTGTAGTCACCATCCACTGACTGCAATTTTTTAGGGACAGCCAATGGCTAACACAATTGAACTGATTTCCATACATACTGGTGGACAATCTCTGTTGCAGTCTTTCCTAAGACATTCTGTAATCCGAAGTCCCGTAACAGCATCTTCCATGTCTGTGCAGGTACACTCTGTACAGCCTTCCTCCCAGGTCTTCCCAATGGGATAGACAATGTTTTGATGAACGCAAACCTGCCGAAAATTAAAAATGTGACATTTACTATACAGAAAACCACATGCCATTTGGCTTCAGAGGACTGCTGTTTTTTTATAACCTTCAGAGGATTTTCGTTCATTGTTCTAGGGAAGCCCAGGGTGCCTCAAGAGCTTAGCATCAGTTCCTCAATGAAGGTCAGAAAGAGAAGGCACAATTCCTTCCCCGCCAATTGGTCCACCTCTGCTGACCTCCTCCTATAATGTGTATTCACCAGAGAGTGCTGTGTACTGTCCTAGGACAATCCATTCACAAGGCACAACAGCAATGTCAAACAAGCCAGGCTGATGCTCTTCATGACCTGAGTATGTGCCCCACAAGATTCTCCAGAACCTTTTGCAATGTTTGGTGGGCTTCCATGGTAGCTATGGAGGGGTTCCCACAGCAGGAAAACTGATGGGGAAGGATTCTTAGGCAGCAGAAAGTTTGAAAGCCACTGCTCTACACAATATCTGACGTCCTCTCCCTCTCTCTCAGAAGCCTATTATAGCTGCAATGTTTATATACCACCCGCATCTTTGAGGACCAATTTACATGTTACAAAGCCCATATGTTTGTTTACTTTAATTGAGGAATTCTACGGGAGTTTTGTGCCTTCAAGCCTCACACAAGCTCTTTTCTCCTCAAGCAGCAGCTTCCTTTCCCCCCTGCACTGATTTCTCCTCCTCAAATGACCCTGTGGCGATCCTACTGGCTCTGCTGTGAAGCTTAGATAGAGTTATATCAGCTAACAGGATTTTACAAATGGAGCCAACAGGGAGGCAGAAGTGGAAGAAAAGGCTACAGCCGCTTCTGCACAAGTCTTGGAGACATAAAACTCCCATTCAACATCTCATGCAAAGTCCTTGTGTCATTGCCCAACAAACAGGAGGACTTTATAGCATGCACCCTTAGGAAGCGTCTTTCTTCAGAGAAATCTGCCTGCTTGCCATTTATGGTTTGTTATGGACACTTTGAACTGGCCTGGATAGCCCAATCTCGTCAAATCTCAGAAGCTAAGCAGTGTCGGCCCTGGTTAGTGCTCGGATGGGAGACCAACAAGGAAGTCTAGGGTCATGCAGAGGCAGGCAATGGCAAACCACCTCTGAACATCTCTCCCCCCAATTCTTCTCAATTTTGCAAATTTTTTGTTTGAAATATATAGATATATATATTGTAAACAGATATACATATAAATTGTAAACAGATTATAGATTTTCTGGGCTGTATAGTAGCACCTGACATTTTGCCAGCCGCTATGACTGGCATCCTCAGAGGTATAACACAGACAGATGGAGTACTCTCTGTGTCAAAGTGAGAAGAAAAATGGTAGGCAGGTAATTTATATTTACTCAGGAAGGTGAGGTAGGGCTGAGGCATTATCTTGTAGGAGTTTCCCAGGCTGTGACATGCTAATGGAGGAGCTTTCCTGAAGAGGTTCTTTTATATATGGATTGTTTCCTGAGGAGGTTCTTTTGCATGTGGATTGGCTGTTGAAATTCTAATCTTATCTGTAGTGCTGTTGTAAGAGGTAGAGATGTGGTAAGATGTAAACAGATTACTTGGTTGAAAAGTCTTCTATTTATCAACCAATCCATGCATATAAGATTTCCAGATATTTTGAAGCCACTGGAAAATAAATTCCAAGAGGAGGGAACTTTGAGGGGATGGATCCAGCCAGCTTTTGTGCTAGTAAAGGGAGGAGGGGGTCTCCCTTTGGCCACCAGAAAGGCTACAGGGATCATGGGACCTGCATGGACAAAAGCCATATGGGATGGAGACTGTAAGAAGGAGAACTGGTTGAGATGAAGAAGAAAAGCTCATTAGATCCAACCCATTATCTGGATACAAAACAATATCCCCTACATACTGCCAGCAGGGGTCATTTCCTGTGGGAGCACACAGGAGCAGAGCTCCGGCAGTAAGGAACCCAGGTGGCAGGCACATGGAACAAGCCCCGCCCCCTGCTCCCAGCAGCCCTCAGTTGGGCCACAAGGAGCAAGAAGCAGCAGGTAAGTTGCAGAGCCCCCCCACACCTTCAGGTACAAGCTCTCCCCCCTCTGTGAGAGCAGATCTGCGCATTCCACACACCCCCCATAGCTAGCCAGCGGCACCTTTAAGACTAAGTTTTATTCAGTTACAAGCTCTCCCTCCTCTGCGAGGACATATCTGCACATTCCCCCGCCCCACAAATAGCTAGCAATCCAAAACAGTCCAGTGGAGCATGAGCGGTGGGTGTTGCCTTCTGACACACTTCCGGTGATGTCAGGGGGGGTGGCATATGCAAATAAGTTGTGCTAATAAGTTATGCTAATGAGCTCCTGCACCTCTTTCTCTACTAAATGACCCCTGACTGCCAGCAATATCTAGAATAAATTCAAAAACTAATGACACATTTAATAAGAGACAATGAGGTTGGTTGGTTGTACACACCACAAGCAACTACTTCCAACTCTCTAAAAAAACAAACCCTGAATGCCTCCAGTCTCACAAAGCACAATGTAAAAGTCTAGATGACAATCTCAGGATTGAGTCAGACTTTAGGATAACCCAGAACATGTTGTTTAAATAACTGATAACAATATATCTTTCAAAATAATACCATCAAGTTTTCTAAATATATAATGAGAATCAGCTTCTAAAATATCAGTAACATCGAGTTCTTGGGTTTTGTTTTTATTTGTACAGACTTCAGAAAATTTGAGAATTTTCATGGACTGAAACCTGTTGCTTTGCTCTTTTCACCGGTTGAACTTGTTTCTTGATTGGTTTGTGTGTATTTCCAAGCCTGCTGAAGATGACAGGGGAACCAAAGCCTATCAGACGATTCAAGTTGTGCACATGTACAGTGGGTAGTACTACTGATTGTCTTCTATTGTTATTTGAAAATGTTCTGAGGAAGTAAAGGAGTCTACAACAATACTTTGCCTTAGAAGGCATTTAATTCATCATCCTAAAGGGGTTTGTTTTTTCCCAAAGACTTTGGAATGGATCCTACCCCTATCCTACCTCTCCACCGGGCAAAATTTGTTCATTAAAATATTTCTTCTTTGAATCTAAAGAGTCTTCCTCTAACTTATATGGCTTGTCCACTGGAGGAAGGTTACTTAGAGAAAGGTTGGCTCCACCCCCATCAGCCAACCCCCCCCCCAAAAAAAAAACCCTGAAAGAGTAATCCTACTCAAAAGCAAGTCCCATGGAAAACAGATTTACTTTGAGATCAGCTAATGCAATCAGTGTAAACATACAAGAAAATCACTATATAATTTTATATTTAGATAGATTACATAAAATTAGGGGAGTCATTCTAATAAATACTGGAAATGTGTACCAAGCACCCTGTTAAGTCGGTTACTTAACAAAGAGTCAGAGAGTGATTTCAGCAAAAGAACAGCTTTATTCAGCAACTCGTAACTCAACTCCAAACAGATCAACATGAATAGCCAGAACAGCTTTAGCATTGAAGCTGTTCTGCTTTTAAACTCTCCCGGCTAATGTAGCCATGCCTACTATACAAATTCCAGCCAATAAGGTTGTACGGATAAGGACCAATCACAAGTGTTCCCTCTCATGGAACTGGCTGTTGGTGTTTGGTCGGCTCTTCCTGGGCTGCCAATTACAATTGAAGGATTAGGATCCTAGCCCAGGATGAAAGCTTCACATGGTGATTCAATGAGTGAGTTCACATACATACATTGACAGATTGAATATACCACACACCCTCTTTTGCATATGTGGGGGGGGGAGCAACTGCCTTCTTGTTCAGTAAAATTATAACAGTAGCTCACTCCTGATGTGAGCCTTGCCAAGAAAGACAGAACTTCTCCAAGGGCAAGTGGGGCAGTTCATTATCATCACCTTGTCTGGAGTGCAGGTGGTAGATGTACAGCCACAGTCATTAGAGACGGTCGTGGATAGATACCCAGCAGGGCAAGCCACTGTTGAATTGACACAACTGCAAGTGCACTGATATTCATCACAGCACCGGGTCTTCTTCACAGCGGGCGTTCGGTGTGGTGGGCAGAGAGGAAGGGGCTCCGGCCTGCATTCGTCTTTTTTACAGACTAGCAAAACAACCAAAGAATACAGAATATGTAACAAAGCTGCGAAGTGGGCTTTTGAATACTATAATACCCCCAAAATCCCTCTGTCTAGTTTGTCTGAGGCAGTTTTCAGAACACAGGAAAGAGATGAAGGAAGGGGCAAAACTGGAGGTACGGATTGTCCTTGGGCTACCAGGTTGCCCTCAGCAGCAGGCAACCTGTCAACCTTGCTCTGTGGAGCAGTGTGAGGGAAAAATTGGGAGGGGGAATGTTGGTGTGAATACTGTGATGTCATTTCTATTTCAGTGGATGGTCGTGGTGCTGTCATGCCCACAACACTCTGGGAATTCCTCAACTCTCTATGGTTCATTTGGGGAATTCCTACAGCATCTCAGGGGTGGTAACCAATTCCGGCCATTCAACTGGAAGTGACCTCATGACTCCCCAGACTCCACCCACAACAAGCTCTCAGGGATTGCCAGTGGAGGGCTGGCAACCAATGCTCCCTCTAAGTCATGGAGTCTTATGAGCAAAAATTCTACTTTGTGAGCTACTGGCATTCAAGTTGTGAGTGAGCAATTTGGCTGCTGCATAAGTTAGTTTACTCTGGAGCCATCCTACCTGAGCTAAGACAAAAATGTGTGAGCTGGAGGCTGACAAACCCTGAGCTAGCTCACACTAACTCAGCTTAGAGGGAACACTGCTGGCAACCCTGATTACTGACAATATACAAGTGAGTTACTCTTGCATTCACACATACTTGCACTCACAAAGAATTACAGACTGAAGTAAATTTGGTATTAGACGCTTCAAAGGAGTCTTACCACAAGCATAATCCGGCCTGCATTCCCCAACATTTGTCAGCACAAGCTGAAGGCCATCTTCACAGTGAGGTACAGGAGGGAGTTCACACGTGATTAGATCACAAACTGAAGAAGGAACAACAAGAAAATACGTATGAAATGAAAATGGAAGAAGATTTGGCGTTTAGATATGGTTGGTTACAATATAGACAAATTTATGATGTGTTTAAGAAAGATAGAAAGGATTTTGGTTTTTGGTTTTAGGGAAAAAAATAATGAAATTGAAAATGTGTGGTTTGAAGGGGGGAAAAACAAATTTCTAAAATGTATAAGGTGTTATTGACTTGGTATACTGAAGATGAAACGGTAAAGGAGCATATGTTAAAATGGGCAATTAATATGAATAAAGAAATATCTATGTCATCATGGGAATTTTTGTGGAAGAATGCAATGAAAATATCAACATGTAATAATTTAAAAGAAAATTGTTATAAGATGATGTATAGATGGTACATGACGCCAAAAAAGATTGCAAATATGAATTGCAATGTCTCAAACAAGTGTTGGAAATGTAAAAAAATAGAAGGTTCATTATATCATATGTGGTGGACCTGTGAAAAAGCGAAAGTGCCATAGTACGTGTTGGTCACCTCCCCGGGCCTGAAGGCGCAAGGGAAGCGCTTGGGGGAGAGCGCGCCGGGGCGGTGTGGAGCACGCACTGGTCCCCCAACTGCATGCGGAACACCAAATCCTGGGTCAGGTCCAGCCAGACGGAGCGACCGAAGGGGGCGCGCGGCCCGCAGTTGGCCAGCAGGATCCCGGAGGCGCCGCCGCCACCGGGCTCGGCAGGCAGGACGAGAAGCGCCAGCTCGGCGGAGTTGTGGTGTTGGGAAGGGTCTCCCGCCGCCGGCGGGCTGCCTGGAGAGGGTGAGGTTTGAGGAGGGGTGGGACCTCAGACAGGTACAATGCCATAGACTCCACCCTCCAAACCAGCCATTTTCTCCTGAGTAAAAATTGTTACCAATCTCCAGGTGAGGGCTGGAGATCACTGAAAATTACAACTGCTCCCCAAGTAGCAGAGATCAGTTCCTCTAGAAAAATGATGGACTCTGTTTCATTATACCCTGCTGAGGTCACCACAGCACATTGATGCTGAGTGCCCAAGGCCTTGGCACTCTCCAAGAGCCTCTTTCTAGAGCTCATTGTATTTATTTCCACAATGAGCCTTATTCCTAATAACTAATAAACAGAATATCAAAGGGTCAGGCCTTTGTTCTGTTATCCAAGTGTAGCATGACATGAGATACAAAAACTGCATCTGACAGTGTTCTTTTGGACTGTAAGCATAGTGAAATAAAACAGGAAAACAATTTAAATCTCATTGCAGGATCTTATTGGACTCTCTGTTAGATCAATCCTCCAAAGCTTATCATATACCTAAAACCTGCCCGTTGAACTGCTTGTATGACTGACAAAACGGAACACAACCAACCAACTAAGTATTGTGGCCTCCAAGGTGGTTGATTTCCAAGACCCTTCATTTTTGCACCCTTAGGCTGATCACAGTAAAAAGTGAATAGCATTACAAGGACCAGAGCTCTGGAAGTATGCTTTGCCTGCATCTATGAAAGGACAAAGAGGCAGACATTTATACAAGACTAAGGAGGAATTCAAGGCAGACGATAAGCTCAGGAAATGGTCCACAAAAATGACAGGACTAGAGAAGAGGCAGCCAACACCCCCCCCAAATGAAAACACCCCCCCCAACACCACAGCAAAAGACAGGTTTAGCAATAAAATGTTTTGCTGGCAAGGAACTCCTAGCAAGAACTGTTGGCCAGCATTTTTCTCCTGTTCCTTTTATGGGAGATTTGAAGAGACTGGGACCAATGAGAAAACAGCACTAGTGGAGACCCAGCTCTGCTTGAATAAAAGAAATGAAAGGGTCAGGATAAAAAGCAATCTCTGACACAGCCATTCCTCCCCTTCCCATTCTGTTAAAGTGATAACAGCAAGAGTAGAAGCATGCCCTCTCAGATTCTTTCCTTTAGCATCTCATTGCTTCTCCCATTCTCTCCACACAAAAAAGAATTCTGAATCATTCATAAAGAAAGAAAATCTGTCTAGAGAAGCCTGGCCTATTGTAAGTAAGCCTAAGGTGCATGATTTCAGCATTTAGCCATTTTTGTGTTCTTTGACAGTTAACGTATTTATCCAATTTAAAAGTGAAATTAAAGCTATTTTTTTTAAGAAAAAGGAAATTCCCCTTAATCTTACTGCAGATCATATAAAAATGTGATTTACACTGTATCTATTTCAAAATTTAGAAATTCCCCACAAGGGGGCATTAGATACTGCAGATATACACACTTCTAGCATTGTGAAGAAAACACAGTGAGTTCTAGTGGTAAGTCCACAAGCAACAACTGGTAGCAACCTGAGTTGAAATGTTCTATGCATTTCCTGTATAGCTTCAAGAGATGCATCTACCACCACATATGTAAAATCAGCATGTGGTCTTCAATTCGGTATAGCTATCATTTCTTACTCTTGTAAACTAATGAACTCAGGAAGCTCCACACGTACAAGGAAGAAGACAGCTGGGTAAACAAAGGGCAAACCAGCCTTACTGGCAGGCCTCCAGCTTTCCATTGTTACCAGACTGCAGAGGGAAGATGCCATGGGGAAGCTGCTCTTGTAGCTGCAGTTATGTGAGTATGTCCAAAAGTGGGGGAGAAATCCAGACTTCTCTTTCAGTACCTTGAAAACTGAAGCCTAGAGCCTAACAAGATACAACACTATTCAAGAGGTAACTTGGAAGAACCATGCCCCATCTGGCCATAACTCATCTTGTTATGGCCACTAACATGGAGAATGAAAAACTTCCACACTGACAGGAAGAAAAAGGGAGATATGATTCTTTTGCTTGGAAAGAAGGAACTTTAGAAGGACTGGTAAAGAAAGAAAATCAATTTGTGGGTTGCTTCCCTGCCCCATAAAGCCATCTCACTGTACAGCTAGGGGAAGAGCAGCCCCCCTCCATCAATGCTGTTGATGCTCCTCCCCTGCAACTCCCTCTGTCTGTTCCCAGATAGGGTTTCCTGGGCACGGGAAGGTGGGCTCCAGGCTGGGGCAACAGCTACTTCCTCCAGCCCTGGGGCAACAGCTGCTTCAATGTGGCTTCTCCCATCTCCTCTGACAATGGCATCCATACTACCATACTACCACAAACTCTGCAGCTGTTGAAGGTGTTTGCAGGCCGAAACCCGTCAGGTCAGGTTTTTAAAGCTATGTTATTTATATATTTGATGTGAATGGGCACTTATATATGTTTTAAATTTGTACTTAATAAATACATGTAGCCTTTTCTATATATCTTTTACATTTAGTTTTTAATATTGGCCCTCTTTTTCACATTTTACTAACCTTTGTTAGGTTCTGAATTTTAGTGTTAAGGTTCAGTTTTTTGCCCTTTCTGTCTCTACCTGATATTTTTGGCCTCTGTGTGACAGTGTTGGACTGGATGGGCCATTGGCCTGATCTTATGTTTAGGAATCCACAGAAACTGCAGATCTCCCTGCTCACTTTTATATAAGGGGAAGAACCTGGTTGAATAAATCTTGCTGTATGGACAGTAACTTCTTTCATCTACCATGTAGATCTCACTCCTCTCAGGAATCCAGCACTGCAAGAATCCAGAAGGTGTTATCATAAACCATTGGTTCTTTACCCTTTTCCCGCATCCCCCTTTTTGTTCAAGCAGCCAAATTACAACTTAGGTATCCATAACAGTAATACTATGCCACATGAAAATGGAGAATGTGTGTGAAAGATGAGATCATATTAGATAAAAAGGCCTTGAAACTCAGCATATCCTTTCAAGTATGACTTCATACATAAAATCTGCTTAAATGTGACAAATGAAATAAGTTTATGAATCAAAAATAATTTATAACTGCAAGCACTGTGAGCCAGTGGATGGGGTTCTGAATCTAGAAGCCTCCATTTCAAATCCTCTCTTGAGCATGATATGCACCAGCTCATTTACAGGCTGGTCACTATTAGGCTATGTAGACAGAAGAAATCAGAAGATAAGTTGTAAAGTACTTCTGCACTGGAAAGAGTTCTACATGGGGAAGGTAACAAATAAGTTACCTAACTTCACAAAGCACATTTTGATACTAATTCATGCTATTAAAAATACTTACAGTGCACTTTCCATATCTGCTATACTTTCTTCCACTGTCAGTCACTGTATAGACGTAAATGAAGTTGTCATGGGATCCCACTGCAAGGAAGGTGCCATCTGCAACACAAAGCAGAAACAGTATGCCATGCTAAACGACCACACTTTATGTTAGTGTCTAGCCCCCTGATTGGTTGGATCCAATGAATCATGAATAGAGGTTACTCCTTGTTCTCCCAGTCCCTCCTCCCCCAAACACATGGCTCCGGAGGGTCAGAGGACCCCCCAATGGAGTGGGGTGCAGTAAGCTGAAGCTTCAGCTCAAGAGGGTTTTGGCAGCAATCAGCCCTTTTTCTCTTGTATGAGTTCTTTTGTGAATGGAGCAAGAGCCTGCGTGAGAGATGGCGAGCTTTCTATCAATTCACCTTCCTTGCTGTAGTCTCCCCTCCCTGCCCCCATGCTGCAACCCACTCTGCCCTTGATAGCCGTCAACACTCAGGATCAGCTTTTCAAGGAATGTAAGAGGCTACAGAGTAAGGAGCAGGAGATGAGTTCTACTGACTTGTTCCATTTGTTGTCCTTTATTAGATGCAAGTTGAGGTCAGTAGTCCAAAGCCCATGTGGTGTGCCTACTGTTGGCTATAGAAGTAATTTCTCATGAGGATCAAACATTTTATATACTCCATTCCTATTAAGCACACTGGACTAACTAACTGGATTGCCACCAGTACATTTAATATAGTGCACAATACAGCAGAAAAAAAAACATAACGCAAGAAGTCAGATGAAGAGTCACATTTGGTGTAAATACATACTTGGTTTCTAACAGATATGTGTCAAATATGCATCATACAGGCACACACCAGACTACAACTAGTCCTGTTCTAGGACTAGAACAGCACATTGCATCCTGTATGTATGAAAGTGGTCGAGGTCTGCCACCCCCACCCCCACCAGCTGCCTGGTGGGTTTTCACCCCACTAGTTCAGTCGGACCTCAGAACTGGAAGGAAGATGGGTTTGCATCACCCCAAGCCTTTCCTTCTCTCTGGTGACTGATGTAGCTCTTTCTCCACTCTCTCTGGGCAGCTGCTTGAATCAGGAACATCTCCCAGCCAATCCTCCTTGAGTGCAGACTGCAAGCATTTAAATAACTCAGCTAGGCCAGTCCCAACTGTGCCCCTCCCAGATCCTGCCTCACGTAATCCAATGGCCATGTGAGGTGTGCTTCCCCCACCCTCACCCAACCTGGACAGAAGGGCTGGGGAACTGGTTCTGGGGCATGGATGTGGCTGCCGCTTGCCCAGTGCACTTGCTGTCATCAATTAAGGCTGCAGCAGCATTGGCACATGTCTGGGTTTGCTGTGCTCCTTCCCTCTCAGTCTTGCACCTGAGGCTGGTGGTGGTGGTGGTGAATGTGGAGGCATAGCATTGGCCTATCACCTCCAGACAAAGTGTGTATCACTCACTCACAAACACACACAAGAGATGCTCGTTAAATTTAAGAGTAGCTTTGAAGAGAAAGATGTGGATTGTGTGCAACAAATGAATGAGTGAGATTTGTTGCACCAAACACTGAACATGTGAAATGTTCCACTGAGTAATACTACCATATTACTGCTAGGGCTGCTTGTACAACTATGTGGGAACTCCAGACAGAACACTTGAGTAGCTAGACCTCCTTTCCAATTGTTTTTAAAAAGTGAAAGGTCTGCTCCAACGTATTGAACAGAAGGAACAACAGGCTCTGGCAAAAGAAATATAAGTCAATAATTAAGCATGCAAAAAGAGCATTTGAGGAACAGGTTGCTAAAACACCAAGACAAACAATAAACATTTATTTAATATATCCAGAGCAGAAAACCAGCCAGAGAAGCCGTTAGGTCTTTGGATGACCAAGGAATTAAGGGATTGTTACAGGGAAGATGGGGGAGATGGCAGAGAAGCTCAATGAATTTTTTGCTTCTGTTTTTACTAAGGAAAATGTGGGGCATGTACCCATGCCACAGCCACTATCGCCTGGAAGGGAGTCTGAAGAACTGATTCAAATGGAGGTGACCACAGATGAAGTTATAGACCTATTGAGGAAATTAAAAACCAATAAGTCTCCAGGTCTTGACAGCATACACCCAAGAGTTCTTAGGGAACTCAAATGTGAGACAGTTGATCCACTAACCCATATATATAATCTATCAGTAAATTCAGCTGCTGTACTAGAAGACTGCTGAGTTGCAAATGTTACACCAATTTTTAAAAACAAGTCCAGAGGGGAACCAGGAAATTACAGGTCAGTCGGTCTAATGTCTGTCCCAGGAAAATTAGTAGCAACGGTAATCAAAGACTGAATTATTAGGCACATAGAAGAACAAAGCCTTCAGAGGGAAAATGAGCATGGCTTCTGCAAAAGGGGGAAGTGAGCAATGGGGTCCCACAAGGATTGGTATCAGGGGTTCTATTTAATTTGTTCATAAATGATCTGGGACTAGGGGTAAGTAATGTAGTGGCCAAGTCTGCAAATGACACAAAATTATTCAGGATGGTGAAAATCAAGGATGACTGAAGAGCTCCATGAAGATCTCCACGAATTGGGTGAGTGGGCAACAAAGTGGCAGATGAAGTTCATTGTTGGTAAGTATCAGGTGATGCACACTGAAACAAAGAATTTCAGTTTCAAAATCAGGCTAATAGGGTCTAAACCTGCTGAGACTGAGAGGGGAAAATGATCTTGGGATCATAGGAGATAGCTCAATGAAAGTGTCAAGCCAGTTTGCTACTGCTGTGAAAAAGGCAAACTTTAAGTTAGGGATTATTACAAAAGGGATTTAAAAATGAACTGGCTGATATAACGCCCCTGTATAGATCTATGGTGTGGCCTCATTTGGAATACTGTGTACAGTTCTGGTCACCATATCTCAAAAAGGACATTGCAGAGCTGGAAAAGGTACAGAAAAGGGCAACCAAGATGATTAGGGGGTTGGAGCACCTTCCCTATGAGGAAAGGCTGAAGAGTCTGGGACTTTTCAGTTTTTTGAGACAATTAACAGTTCCATTAAGAGAAGGCGCTAACAGTTGTGGATATTTTCTGTATTTCTCTTCCTGCAGCAGTCTCTTTTGACCCCTGGATTCCCAGGACAGAGAAGAGGGTGAAATTGCCTTCCTGTCTTTTTTGTCAGTTGAATTTGCACTTCTGGATGATGGAGGAAGAGTGATTTTCCCAGCCTGTGTGGCCATTGGTACATGTTGATACCACATATGCAAGAATCAACTTACCTGAGGTTCCAAGGAACTGCTGGGGGAAGAAGAATGTGGGAAAGAACTGCAAACCCATAGTGATTTGTAGGCCAAAATCTAGACATCAAGATTTACTCTAAATAGGACCCATAAAAGTCAACCCAGTTATGACTGCACATGTTCCTAAGTGTAAGTAAGGCAAACTGAAACCACAGATTGCTTCACAGAGGTATACATTAGCTAGCTACTCAGGTCCTCTGTTAGGAATTGCCAGATTTCACCTCTCGGTGCACTCAGAGGCAAAATCTCTACTGATTTGTTAAATGAACTCTAACTGTTCATTCAAATGAGCCATAGAACCAATTCTGTCAATTTAGGTGCAGTCAACACATAATTAATTCTCAATTTCTACACCTATGTTACTAATGACCTTGCAATACTTTTGCAGCATAACTGTACAAAAGTTTTAAAGCACATTAAAGTTTTAAGCAGTCCAGAGGTTGCTTGGCAAATGCACCCATTTAGAGAAAATTAAATGTGCAACTAGAAGGGGGTTAGGAAGGAAGACCAGACTGTAAATTTGCTACCGCTCTGCCTACCTACTGTGTAGCGCATCACTGAGAGCTGCTCGTTGCCATCTGTATGTATTGAAACCAAATCTCTTGTTTCAGCATCCAGAACAAACCATCTGTTAAGGAAAAGAAGAAAGGGAAGAGAATCTAGGCAAAGTTAAATACTCTAAGCCGTGAACAGCCTATTTGAGTATGGTTACTTCTCACGTCGGACCTGGATGACCTAGGCTAGCCTATTCTTTGTCAGATCTCAGAAGCTAAGCAATTTGGATGTTAGACCACTAAGGAATACCAGGGTTTGCTACCCAGAGGCAGGCAATGGCAGACCACTCCTGCACATCTCTTGTCTTGAAAACCCTACAGGGTTTCCATAAGTTGGCTGCAACTTGATAGCACTTTCCACCGCCACCACCTCTCACTCATGTCTACCCCTAGTGAAATATGATGATTAAAAAATGCACTTTTCACCAACAATAATGGATTGTAGCCATTATTTTAGTTTCTTTTCCCACCTTTCTTGAGTGGTTTAGTATGGTGAGAAGACTTCTACTGGATCAGTGTACCAAGCTGCTGCACACAATGAGGTTCCTGCATGGAGTAGCCATGACAGGGAACCATTCGGATCAACAACTGTGTGGCTCTCAACAACAACTAGCTCTCAGGCACTCGTTTTTGCTGAAGTGCAAAGAGCTAAGTTATTCAAAAGCTGCTGAATTTGCACATATTCATGCTACATGAATTCTGTGCATGTCTATTGAGCCAAACCTACTGCTGGGGTCATTTACTTACACTACGTGTAGACCACAGTGCTGCTGTTCCTATATCATAAATAAATTAAAAACATACACAGCAAAACGAATTTGACATTTAAAAATCCCATCACGAGAAATGCTGCTCAGAGTTAAGTCTCTATTAGAAGTCATCTCTCATTATTTTCAAACGCCTCAAGCTTTAAAACCAGATATTTGGAAAATGGCCTGGTCCAAGTGGCTTAAAACCAAATTTGTGGTTAAGGGACCACATGAAAAGCATAAAACATGAAGCAGCTCAACATACCACCACAGCTTGCGAATACGCTGTGTGCAAGATGGATGGAACCAGTGGAAAAAATAGCTGAAATGTTTTCATTGGACAACCACAGAAACCGCTTATAATAATATAACTGGGGGCAACTTAAAAAAATGGGCTTGTTTGCAGCTGATTCTGTACTGCAGCTGGAAGAATGAAGAGTTTCAGGCTGCTGCTTCAGTATTGAATTACATTTGAACTCCTTGCTTTTTCATGCTACCCAAATTATTAGAAGTGTTTTCTTCTGTCACCTGTGTTAAATCCTAACATATCCAAAGCAGAGAAGGTGATAAATTCTTACTGGAGCATATGAAACCACTGTGCAAACATGCATATTCCTTTAGTAACAGTGGCCCATTTTGGATCTCTTAGGTATGACATGCCACAATGCAGAAAGCAGGTTACAAAGGTAGAATGCAATGCACTAAAACGATATAAGATACAAGGAGCATTGCAATAGACTATGATCTTCTTCCTTAGAAAGTGACCTCCTCTGCTGTTCCATTATACTGAACTAATGAATTGTTCATTACAGTCACAGACCAGCACAATAATACATACTATACCAAAAATATTTACATAGGAAACCTGATACACAGATGATGTTAAAATAGCAAGTTCCATTATACTACAGTTCTAATCTGTTTATAAAAATCCACCCCCCCATATTTTGATTTTGCACATTCTGTGAAATGACAACAGACAGGCCATTCCACAGGGTGGGAGCCATCCCACAGAATGGTATTTGAATGGTATTGGCTGATCTCATGAATTTGCAGTGTGGCACCTTCAGAAGACTCAGCTCAGATAACTGAAGCTGTTTGGGTGGGGCATGGTGGGAGGTATGGGTCCAAGGACATTAAGGTTTTTTTTAGTTGAAAACCAGAACCTTGAAGTGAACCAGTAACTGGACAGTAACTAATGAAGTGTCTGCAGAACAGGCATGACAGAAATGTTTTGCCTACTGCCTGATAGTAACTGGTCTATAGCATTCTGTACCAACACAAGTCCAGGCATGAATGTACAAATTAGAGTTTATACACCCAGAAGAATTTACTGACCTGGGACATTTTATGTGTTGTATGTAAAGTCAGTTTTGCATTTTATCTGTTACAGGAGCCTGACCACAACTAATCCAATGTAATCTAATGTATTACTGCTTCATGTCAGCTCTCAGCAACGACAAAAGATTTCAGATGGGTGAAATCAGCTTTGTTTTTGGAAGTTCAACCACATGCCCAAGGAACCAATATTTGCACGTGCAAAAGGAATTGTGCTGAGGAAGCACCCAGCAGAATTAGCAAGCACTACTGAAACCGTAAGGCTCGCTTCTCTTTACTCTTTGCCATACATACAGATTGTTGCTGACTCCCTAGGCGGGGTGAAGAGAAATAGGCAACCTAGCAGTTTCTAGGCAGATGGACCTAACACCTCAGTGTATGACATTTCACGCGTCTTTAAGTAAAAGGCTTGACCCAGTACTATACACTGCCCTGTAAATCAGAGTTAACAACAGGCTGCGACATTTCTTGGTAATAATCATGCAGACACACAATTCAGTGTTAAGAGATTACTTCTGCGGGTTAATGGTTTATAACCAGTTTTTGTGACTGGTTTGTGTATTGTCCCAAATCTTTTAAAAGAACTATAGCACATAACAGTATATTATGTAGAATGTCAGGTGGGCACCCATGTTGGCCCACAGCAGAAGAGCAGGACTCAAGTCCAGCAGCACCTTAAAGACCAAAGCTCCCTTCGTCAGATATGTAGGATCAACGCCAACGAACTGATGCTTCATTTTAAAAAAATCCTGTAATTGTTGTTGAACCTGGTCAGTCTTACAAGCCCCACCTCTGACTTTTGGTAAAGTGGTGACAAGCCATGCTCAAGAGCCCTAATTCTGAAAGACTTCCGTTAAATTGAGCATATATGTGGAAGGAGTGTGCTAACAGAGAATGTGTCTTCAAAAGATAAATTCCTGGTCTACTGATTCTGGCAGTTCACTGGCAGGCTTAATTGGAGTTTTATTATTTATTTAAACATTCATATCCCGCATTTCCACAATGGCCAAGGCAGCTCACAAAATACAAATACATACAAATAAAAGACATAATTACACAAATGTATTTAAAGGCATCAAGTTAAAACTGCCAGAGACATTTGTTAATTATTTCTGCAAAAAGTGCATTGAAATAAGTTTGCTTTGCACCTTTTGCAGCAGGAAGAGAGCGAAGGAGCTTTATGTACTATATCTGAAAACAAGTGCATACAGGCTATAGATGAACAGACCTCCCAAGAAGCAGGGTATGTCAGAAATGAGATGCCTTATAACCTTAGCTGGTGTATGGGATCATATCAGGTAAGGTAGTCCATTAGATATGCTGGTACCAGGATGTGCAGGGCTTTAAAGGTAACCACCAGCACCTTGAATTTTGCCCAGAAACAAATGGATAACCAATGAAGTTACATAATCATTCTGGTGTAAATCTGTTAGTAACCTAGCAGCAGCATTATTCTCTACCAGCTGACATTTCTGAACAGTTTTAAGGGGTAGCACCATGTACAACACAGTCCCAGGGTAACAGGGGCATGATCAGCTATTACTACAGATAGACATTTCTTGAGGACCTCTCACTTCCAAACGAAAAAAATAAACAGTAAGTTGATGGTAACCTAGCCTTGGCTCCAAAGTGATTAAAGGATTCTGATTGGTAGAAGAGTGAAACAACGCAATTGGTCTAGGAACGGCAACATTATAGGCCTTAGCTCGATTTCAGTGTTGATGTCTTGTCCTTGGCCCTGAAGGCTTTATGACTGAGACAGCAACCCTATGCACACTTACCTAAGATTAAGCCCCACTCAATAAAGTGGGACTGGGTGCAATCCTATGCATGTTTAATTAAGAACTGTCAGTGGTTAAAAAGGCAATGGATGTTTCACAACTTGAATGCAGAGCAAGAGTAATGAATGCTTGGAGGGCTGCCTTCCACAGGCGTCACTGGCTCTCTTTTACCAGTCTCATGCTTTTTGCCCACAAAATCTGAATAGGATTGCATTGTGATACAGCTGTGTGGTTTTCAATTCCTACCCCCCACAAAGCAGAGGATCCAACAGTCAGTCTGCCAAGGCTTCACAGAGCTAACGGCAGAAAATGAGGAAAACACCTCATTACTTCAAGAATTATATTTTGTTTCCATGAGACACATTTTTATTTTACTACGATTAAGAAAGTAAAGTGAAGAAAATATGAATTGATAATCTCCATCTGCAGTAAATTAGCCCATTCCTTTTTATATGTGTGTAAATTCTTTGGACTGATGAGAAAACTGGAACTTGGGCGAGTGTTATATATTTTTTTGGTCTCTCTCATGGTCAATATTGTACCTTTCTTTCCCCTTAATATATCAAGGTACATATAGGGAAAAGACTGAATGCAAGGTCAAAAAAAGAAAAGAATGATCATCATCCAGGGAACGACCCTTTCAAGACAGATGTTTCATCTAAGAAATATAAGTTATTTACCTTCCTATGCGTGTTCCTATGGCCACCACAGTTCCACTCGGATGGAAGTCCGCACAATGACCTGGTTCCTGAAAGATACATTTAGACACAATTGATTTAACATCTATATAGAAGTACACAGTGAAGTGCCCACCCCAGACTGAAAGAAGAAATGAAGCATAAAGCTACCTAACACTGACTTGGACTATGGCTCCATCAATCCCACTGCAGCAGTATTTCTCCAAAGTGTCAGGAAGAATAAGATCTTTGGGGGTAATCATTTCTAATTAAGCAAACAGATATGAAACTAGCTCTTCCTCTACCCAAAACAGGCAATTGGGAAGCCTTAGCTGAACACCAATGGAAACCTCCTTTGATTACTTCTGGTGTCTGAACAGAAAGAAGCTCACATACATCTAGCAGCCTGGTCCATTCCAATGTGTGGTCCACCGAGTTCCACATACAAACTTGTCGATCTTGAGCACATGTTAAGAATAGGTCTTTGAAGGGATGTGTTCCCAGGCCCCAGAGTTCATCTGTGTGACCCTACCAAATACAAGTAAATACGCATCTGAATTATTTTACAAAATTTACAAAAATCTTTACTTGAGAAACAAAACAAACCTTTACCCCCAATGCGAGAGGGGGGGGAACACACACTCACCTGCACTTCCACTCGAAAACCATCGTTAAATGTACCCCGTAAAATAAAGTTCCGTGATGTGCCAATGAGAACTTGATCTGCTTTGCCTTCTGCCACTGCTCTGATTGTCCCATACTGATCTGGAACCTAAGAAAATCATAGTTCCATAATCCATTATGCACAACCACCATGAATGGTAAGGGTTACAATTGTCTGTACTTATAATATTCAAGCAAACTGTTTTCAACCACTTAGGGGTGTGGGACAGGGTCCATGAAAATGCATTTTTATGTTTTATTGCGTATTTTTCCCATTTATATACCACCACAATTTAAGGCGATCCAAAATATGGTGCTAATCCCATTTAATCTCAGCAACAATGTGATGTGGGTTATAGGGTGAGAGACTGTAACTTGTCCACGGCCCCACAGGGCACTTCATGGAGAACTGGAGTTGGGTCTGGAATTAACCCCCTAACTCAGCTATTTTCATTATGATACATCACACCAGGCTGTCTCTCAAGAAAATATTCTCAAAACAATGGAATGTGGATTACAATCAACAGTACAGGCTAACTACAGGTACAATCTGGTCAAGACTGGATGAAGTCTAACTGCAGGTACAATCTGGTCAAGACTGGATGAAGCATCAAGACCATTCTCCTCTACTAGGACCACCTCTGTCATCCCACTGAAGCTCATAGCGTTCTCCTCTACTAGGACCATGTGCCCTCATCCTCTTTATCACTGACACCTCTGTCATCCCACTGAAGCTCATAGTGTAATTCTTACTCAGCTGTTCATGAACCTGATTTAACAATCACTGCTTTCTTGCATGTGTGAAGCAAGGAAGCATCATATAAGAATATTTTTAAAGGGCCTAATGCAGTGAGCACGAAGGAAGACAGGAGGACCTGGCGTGATGTGGTCGGACTTGACTGTGCGACTGAACAACAAAAAATGCAGTGAAGCATCTTGCAGATCCTCCAGGGAATCCATCAACATATCCAGACTTTGAATTGTCCCCACAGAACAACTGAATGAGGACTTTACACTGGACAATGTTAAAAGTTATTTTTTCAACACCTGGATAGAGAGGTTTGGTAGGCAAAGGTAGCATCTTAGCGGCGATACCCCACGTTGAGATTTGAAAGTGTCTGAAGCCATGTAGCCTTATATTAGGACTTTGAAACAAAACAACCATATTCTCAAATGAGACTATCAGAATCTTTGTTCTACCAATGCTTTGCCTATTATGAAATGCAGCTTGTTAGAGCACTATTCATTTGAACAGATGCCAGATAGATAAATCAAATTATTATTGCAACTACTATTTTTTTTCAAAGAGCTGGCTGGATTTTTCAGCATCAAATAATGACTTTGTAGAGAGTACATGGCATCCGAACAAAGAGAATGGGGTGATAACAATCTACACTGCTCAAGTCACTGTTTACAAAGCACAATGGTGATTTAATATCCAGTTGGCATCTCTGTGTTGATTTTATTAATTACCCTCAAAACAGTTCTTTAAAAAGATTATTTCCCTCACTGATGACTATATTTAACTTCCAAAAAGGCTATGAATTTATCATTGTGGTAAGTTGGATATTTGCTAAAGTGAAAGTAAAATATAATTTGTTTTTATAAATGATTGACCAATTGCAGTCGGGACAGAAGTGTGCTAAAACAGGATGAACACAACCTGGATTCAGATCCTACTAATCCATACATTTGTCTCTCTGGCACAATTCTCCATTGGCAAAATGGGAGCCATATATTCTTGCTTCACAGACAAACTAACCAGACACCTTAAAGAGAACAGCAAGTGTTCAAAGTACCTCTTCTGCGTAACAGTCACTGAAATGACTGCATTAAAGCGTGGGATAGTTTTATGCAGCCCCAATTGAGACCAAAGGGATGGGCAAAGGAGAACTTCCCGGTGGCTTGGGCGACAACAAGTTTATTTGACATAAAACTTTGTAGGTTAGAACCTAGTAAGGTCTCACCTACCTCTACCTCCCTTTCAGGGTTTAAATCATGATCCCACAAAATGATTTTTCTGTCTTTCCCACCTCCGGTCAGCAGCATGCCATTTCTCATTTGACACAGCGTGAACACACTGCCATCGTGAGCTTTGATTTGCCTGCTTATTTGATACACACCTGTAAGTCAATAAAAGAAATAGTACTGAATTGTTACAATGATTTTGCCAACCTATATAGACCAGGGAGCAAGAATTAATTATCACCATGCAATTAACTTAAACCTTTCATGTGCTTCTTCCAATTAGCTTCCTAACAGACAAATGAACGAGACGCCTTAAAGAGGACAGCGAGTGTTCAAAGTACCTCTTCTTCATCACAGTCATCACTTTGGTGTAGTGGTTAAGAGCACGGACTCTAATCTGGGAGAACCTCCCCGCTCCTCCACATCCAGCTGCTGGTGTGACCTTGGGTGAGTCAGTCATAAATTCTTTCAGAGGTGTTTTCTCTAGGGGAGTTCTTGAGAGAGCTCTCTCAGCCCCAACTACCTCACAGGGTGTCTGTTGTGGGGAGGGGAAGAGAAAGGGATTGTAAACCACTCAGGTAGTGAAGGGTGGGGTATAAATCCAATCTCTTCTTCTTCTTCTTCACCCCAAAGAGGGCAGCGAGTGGTCAAAGTACCTCTTCTTCATAACAGTCACTGAAATTATTGCAATAGAGCATGGGATAGTTTTATGCAGCTCCAATTGAGTCCAAAGGGACAGGCAAAGGTGAACTTCCCAGTGGGTTGGACGACAGTTTGTTTAGCAATGACAAGGGTTTTTATCCTGTGAAACTGGGACTTGCTGAAGTCACCCTGGTAACTTCCACTTGCAACATGTCCTTTGTGCTTAATTTCTAAAGTAAGTGGAATTAAAAGGTTCAAGCCCTCCTGAAGGTACACAGAGAGTGTGTGGTCAGACCTGCATTTTAATCCGCTGTTGCCCTGCCTCTAATTGATCCAGAGTATTTTGGAACCGAGAATACTGATCAGACTCACCCCTTTAGGCACTCTTTAAAGCGCTTTTACCCCATTCTTGAGTGATCAGATGCATATCAGACCCAGCAGCCAAGGAATGTTGCCATCGGCCATTTTTTAAAATAGTTTCTCCCTTGAGCATGCCCACAAGCGCTGCTATGCCTCTTGAGATATGTAGTTCATGGGGCCATCAGCCATTTTTTAAAAAAGTTTGTCCTCTGGGCATGCACACAAGCGCCGATCAGCCTGCTGGGACATGTAGTCTCCCTCTTTATACTTTTCAATTCACCCCTTCCCCAAAGCACAGGAAAAGCTGAAGTACAGGGGTGTTTTTATTTGAAGGTTTTTATGAAGAAAACAAAGTTTAGAGCAGCCCCCGTGGGAGAGGAGGAGAGAGAGAGAGTGGTGCAAATATGCAGTTGTGCAGTTCGCTAAATAGCAAAAAAAAAATGGTGGCTGAAAAACAAGAGACCAATCAGACCTGCCTGATGGCTTGGGTGCGCAACAGAGCAATCAGACTACAGGAAATCAGGTTCGAAACCAGCCCAACCCAAAAGGATTGGACTTTCACAGGTATCAAATAAACACACAGTAAAGGGGGGGATGGGACACAGACGACTGGGGCATGACAGACAGATGTTGCTGTCTGATCATGCATTTTAAATCCATAGGGAAACAGCAGTGGCAACGGATTAAACTGCACGTCTGATAACAGCCTTAGTTGTACCCTGGAATCCTTTGTCTCCTGGTCGGAAAGGAAGGAGCTTGCTTTTATAACCTGGTGATGTCAAAGATTTTCTGTCCCCTCTCACATACCTTTCCATACATTTCCAGTAGGGCTGAAAAATGGCTCTAAAACCACATTCTGCACCCATACTTTGGTAAACAATGACTTAAACTAAGCCCTAGTTGTCCTTAACAGGTTCTGTGCTTGAATCATTTGAAACATCACAAAGTCCTAGGATGCAGGAGACCCAACGGAGCTCTAAGAAGAGTTATCCTGCCTTATGAAAACTGATACAAAAGCCCTGAACAACAGCCAATGTGAAAACCCCATTCCTCAGTGTAGAAACAGATGAGATGCTGAAAAATCCTTGAACAGATGTACAGCAAGATTTTTTTTTCTTGTCTGTAAACAGCAGCTGGGAGTCATTTAGATAAGGGATCTTGTGCTGAATTTTGGCCAAAATGCTAGAGTGTGACCACCTGATGTGCCCAGTGTGATGACGGCACTTCCATGTGATGTCGTTGCACTGATGACGTAGACACAGGAGAGGACTGTTCGTGGGTGGGGCTTCCCCTGCCAGTCAGCTGGCAGTAGATTGGAGCCCTGAAATCAGGGGAAACCCCGCCCCGACAGGGGGTCTGGTAACCCTACACCTGAAGTTGGGAAAGCAACAAATAGGAAGAGCTAGCTCCCTTTCCCTTCTAATCCACCTGGGGTTCTGTGCTGGCCCTGTACCAAGGAAAAACCCATCCTGTACAAACTCTCAGCCACTGGAGGAACTTGTCAAGGGGAGTGAGTCAGCAACATCAGCATCCCAATATGGAGTTCCTTCATGAGAGGGATGTTTGTCTGGGTCAAAGGTATCTAAACAGAGGTAGCAGCCTCAGTTCAGTATGTTACTTTTTAATACCTTCTGGATCAACTGCATTGTATGGAATTCTTTCTGCTCCTAAATGTCACGGAGTTGATTTGAATACCTGAGCAATGACCCCATTTTATTGGATGCTGCCTCCTTGGTATTTTATTAAAGTTCCCTTTATGAACCTGCTTGACCACTATGGTGATCTCTGGAGGCCCTGCTCTGGGTGTCTGCCTTCTGAGACTAGGGCAGGTGACAAGGAGAGGGCCTTCTTCATCATAGTACCAAAGCACTGGAACCCTCTTCCCAGGGAGATCTGTCTGTCCCCTCCTGTTGCCATCTTCTGCCAGCAGGTGAAGACTTTTTTGTTCTGTTTGGCATTCTGTCAGTGATCCCACCCTTCCTAACCAACATTTCATGCTTTGTATGTATGTTAACTCTCTTTTTTTAAACTCTGTTTTAATGATGTATGTTTGAGGGAAGGGCTAATTTTAATGGTCTTAAAATTTAATTCTAGCATATATGTTTTAAATTATTAGCCACCTTGGTGGCCCTTGTGAGGGGTGAAAGGTAGGAAACAAAATTTGTAAACTAATAAATAAACAGCTGGGATGGTGCAGGTGAGGTAGAAATAACATAGGATGATACCGAGCACCTGTGAACTAATTGTCACAATAAGCAAAGTCAGCACTCAACAGAATCTGCCACTTAAAAACAACAACAACACCTTTCAAGACAAAGTTGATTGCTGCCAGATTATCTAATATTTTAGTGTTTTATTATTCATTCTGGGCATGGAGAACAATGTAGAAATGGAAGATGATGTACTTTGGGACAAAAATCCTAACTTCAAGTATAGCCATGAAAAAGGCAAACTCTATTGTAGGGATTATTAGGAAAGGGACTGAGAAAAAAACTGCCAATATTGTAATGCCTCTGTATAGATCTATGGCATGGCCTCATTTGGAGAACTATGTACAGTTCTGGCCACCATATCTCCAAAAGAACATTGCAGAGCTGGAAAAAGTACAGAAGAGGGCAACCAAGACGATTAGGGGGTTGGAGCACTTTCCCCATGAGGAAAGGCTAAAGAGTCTGGGACTTTTCAGTTTAGAAAAGAGACGACTAAAGGGGGACATGATAGAGGTTTATAAAATTATGCATGGGATGGAGAGCGTTGACAAAGAGGAAATTTTCTCCCTCTCCCAAAATAATAGAACTCGAGAGCATCCAATGAAACTGATGGGCAGTAGGTTCAGGATGGAAAAAAAGGAAATACTACTTTACGCACAGAGTGATTAAAATGTGGAATATACTGCCAGAGCATGTAGTGATGGCCACAGGATTAAAAGGGGATTAGATAGATTCATGGAAGAGAAGTCTATCAATGGATGCTACCTATGGTGACTGAGGAGAACCTACACATTCAGAGGCATTAAACATCTGAATCCCAGATTTAGGAGGCAACATCAGGAGAAGGCCACTGCCTCTATGCCTTGTTGTTGACCCTCCACAGGCACTGGTTGGCCACTGTGTGAGACAGGATGCTGGACTATATGGGCCACTGGTCTGATTCAGCAGAGTTCTTCTTGTGTTCTTATGAAAGTTTTGCTTATTCCTCACAGAAATATTGCAAGGCAAACTGGGAAACAGACTTTAAAAAAATAAAACAAAAACAAATTTGGATTCCAAGTGGAACGCTTGTGGAAGAGAGGTGATCAGATCATTTTGAGCCCTGAATTGTAAGTGGCATCTACATTCTCTAGAACCCAAATGAGATCTGTTCAGACAATGTGAGATATCAGATGGTAAGCAAAATTTTTGACTATAGCACACAGGAAGTTAGTTAGCATCAGAACATAGAATCTTGCACCTTTCTTCAATACTTGGAAGGCAGCTTCCCTTACCCCTTTCTCTAACATTCAGTCTTACAGAAAACTGGACTAAACAAATTATGGGTCTAAGGATTACCCAAATGATAGTCTCAATGTGCCAAGGTCAGGACCTCAATTTGCTTCCACTTTATCTATTCTTTCATCTTCATGCAACAACCACAACCCGCATCTAAAGCCACAAATCCTCCATTAAGAACAATTTAGGTGTTAATTGGATTACTGAGGTAAAGACTTGTCATATAACAATGTTTCCAAATATTTAATTAGAACGCCTAGCAGAATAATGTTAAGAGAGTTGGCTGCTACTGCAAAGAGTTTTGTTAATTTTCAAGATTAATATTCCAAGGGCACATGCCATCAGGTGCAAATTGTGATCTGTTATAAGATACAAAAATCTAAAACAAATGTGTGTATAGGTTCAAGGCTCCTCATAAAAGCAAAGAAAAAGTACAAGGTGCCAACTTTTCTTAACGGTCTGTCCCCAGGGAGCTATTCACTCTATTTCTAAATCTGCATAACCGCCTCCTCCCGACACACAGAGATTTAAACCTTCATAAAACCCATGCACTATTCAACAACACAGTCAAACTATTACAAATCCAGCTCAACAAAATCCTGCATCCATTTAAAATAATTAAACCGGCCCACTTTTCATTATGAAATACTTGCTATGACAACAGCAGCAAAAAGCTACTTGCTTCAGACAGGCTAAAATACTAAATGTATGATCAAACGTATAATTAAATTTTCATTTTATTCTTTCCTTTAGAATGAAAAACTTGCTTAAACATACATTCTGCAGTTAAAATGTCTTCTTCTGAGACTGTTTTTGCTGGCATGCACATTTAGGTCCCAACATTTTAATTCACTGCCAAAGAAAATACTTATCCTTGGATTTAAGAGTTACCTTAGGGCTCAGCAGTGCCAGACCTGCATTTGCCTGGTTGCAAATAATATTTTTTGGTTCAAATTTTAAATTGAAACAAAATACTCGCACTATTAAAGCAAGTTCAATTAAAAAGCCAGCAAAAGTAAAATTAAAGCATGCTTTAATGCCAGGACAATGCTTTGCCAGATGAGGAGCTCATAAAGTTCAACATTTTTCTTTATGTGGTTCTTTTGTTCACATTCAGCGTGCAATAAATATTATACTAAACACTACCCATTGCTCTTGCATGTATCTTAAGAATATCCCATCCGAAGCACTCATCAAGTTGCACAGCCCTACACGCAGACCACAAAATATACTACCCTCATATGCAACATCAGAAGCCATGTTTGCAACCTACAAAGGATGTATGTACAATCTGTATACAGTGTACACTTGATTTAAAAAAAAAATACATATGTTGCGTAATTCTCATGTTACACTCCATGCACATACGGATGAAAACTTTTTAAAAAATACATGTGTTGCGTAATTCTCATTTTACACTCCATGCACATACGGATGAAAACGTGATACAACCCACAGATTTATCCAGATACTGGTCCCTGGTTGCAACTACAAAATTAACACACAGTGGCTCTTTCTTACAGAGGTACACACACGCAAAAAATATGTGCATTCACTGTAACATGTGAACTGGGCTACAGAATATGCCAAATAGCCTGTGTGGGAACAAGGATGAGCACTGTACTTTTAGTATGATGAAAAATTACCACTGAGTAATACGAACAGAAGTAAAGAACTTGCTTATGGGTTTTGTTTGCATCGTATAGTTTGTTTTCATTTGTAAAATGGGATCATTTTTATTTCTTAAATGAGGAAACTGTCAAACAAGCATCCTTCTGGAGCAAAGTATGCAATAGTATAGTCTGTGGAATGCTTTGTATGATTTCTCATGGAGTAATACAATAAGACACATGTACTGCTGTGCATGGTGTCTGATGAACAGAAATGACTATAAGTGGGAGAGGTCATCATTGTCCTATTTATGGCCTAAATGAAAGAGAATTGGATTTAAACTCTAATTTAGCAATTTTATACAGCAGCCTGTACCTTTGTAACTTCTGTTGTGGAAAAAAAATGACTTGTAGAGTTAGTTACAGATTTAGGAGTGGTGTGTGAGTGTGTGTGTGTTAGGGGAGATACAGCTCTCAGGAAACACATGAGCTTTGTTGACTGTAGCTGCATTTTGATTAAAAATGGGAAAAGCTGTATAAAAAAATCCAATGTTCTCTCTTTTTTGTTGGAATGAAGAACATTCAGTAGAAGTGGTAATTACTAAAAGACAGCTTTATCCCTTTGGATAATTCATACTATGTTTATGTGGCTGCCTATCCATTTTCTTATCTGCTACAATTATTTCACCACATCTTTTGCATCAAGATATAACTTTTTAATACCCCATTGTTTGGGGAACCTGGCCTAAAATTAATCAAAATATTTTAATCTCAGTATAACAAGGGCTTCACTAAACATCACAAGACAGAGGGCAAGCACTGAAGATAATATGAACAACTGTTCTCACTGAAATGGCACTGGCTTTGACAAGCCAATCAAGAAAAAGGGCCTCAGTACTACCATAAAGAAATAAAACTAGGACAACACAATGTTTTTTTTTTAATATAACTGGCTTTGTTTACAACCACAAAACCTATAACTGAACTCTTACTTTACCTTTGGATCCTTTCCCTGGTGTGGTTTCTACAGTAGTCCTGCTCCATATAAGCAATATCCCACCCGAGTCACCAGTGAGAACTTCTCCATTTCCCAAAAATGCTAAGCACTGAACAAATTTGGGCTTTTCATATTTCTGAAAAGGAACACCACAATGTGTTTGAAGTAGCAGCTCATGTGCAGGCAGACATACAAAACCGAAAACATACAAAGCCAGCCCAGTTCAAAGCCCCACATTTTAAAAACCTTTTCATGTTAACTTACAGGCCAGTCAACATATACGGCACCAACAGCTTTGAGACTGTGGAGTGGGGGGATGTTGCCAGATTCACAAAAGGGATCCATGGGAACATGAAAACTGGTACCTCCCAACAACGGCATGTTGGCAGCACTTTTTTGAGATGGAATCTCAGACATGCCCATAGTGTGCACAAAGCACAACATCTTGTACAGGAAAGCAATAAGTCCCTGTTTTCATTTTATACATAAAACTAGTTTTATTTTAGGATGCAAGTTTCAGCAAAAAATTGTTGGGAGTGGAGAGAAAGATGCTTAGTCTACTCTCAGCTGGCCATTTTTGCCATTCAGAATCACTTCTCCCTCATGGCTTTCCTCCTTCAGGGTTCAAGGTACATTTTTACTCACCACAAACACCCATCCAGAACACTGCCAGGGAAGCAGCAGTTGGGTGCGAGTGCATGGGATCTGGAGTTAAAAGTGGCTGGTGAGAAAGGGACAATCAACTGACTTCCCACATCACTTCTCCACTGAAGACTACTTTCTCCCAAGGTGGGTTTTTTTTCCTTATAAAAAGCAGTTGTTGGGGCTTTGTGTTATGTATGTTTAGAAGCAACATTGTGGTAAGGCTGTATGTACATGGAGGAAACTTTG